TTCGGTCCCTAGTCTGTAGCGGTGCATTGGGTTCTTCCGTCCTAAGTGCAGGACTCTGCACTTGTCCTTGTTGAACCTCATCAGATTTCTTTTGGCCCAATCCTCCAATTTGTCGAGGGCCCTCTGTATCCTATCCCTACCCTCCAGTGTATCTACCTCTCCTCCCAGTTTAGTGTCATCTGCAAACTTGCTGAGGGTGCAATCCACACCATCCTCCAGATCATTTTTGAAGATATTGAACAAAACTGTCCCAAGGACCAACCCTTGGGGCACTCCACTTGATACCGGCTGCGAACCGGACATTGAGCCATTGATCACTACCCGTTGAGCCCGACAATCTAGCCAGCTTTCTACCCACCTTATAGTGCATTCATCCAGCCCATGCTTCTTTAACTTGCTGGCAAGAATACTGTGGGAGACTGTATAAAAAGCTTTGCTAAAGTCCAGGAATAACACATCCACTGCTTTCCCCTCATCCACAGAGCCAGTTATCTTGTCACAGAAGGGAATTAGATTAGTCATACATGACTTGCCCTTAGTGAATCCATGCTGACTGTTCCTGATCACTTTCCTTTCCTCTAAATGCTTTAGAATTGACTCCTTGAGGACCTGCTCCATGACTTTTCCAGGGACTGAGGTGAGTCTGACTGGCCTGTATTTCCCAGGATCCTCCTCCTTCCCTTTTTTAAAGATGGGCGCTACATTATCCTTTTTCCAATCATCTGGGACCTCCTCCGATCGCCATGTGTTTTCAAAGATAATGGCCAATGGCTCTGCAATCACATCCGCCAACTCCTTTAGCACTCTTGGATGCAGCGCATCCGGCCCCATGGGTTTGTGCTCATCCAGCTTTTCTAAATAATCCCGAACCACTTCTTTCTTCACAGAGGGCTGATCACCTCCTCCCCATGCTGTGCTGCCTAGTGCAGTAGTCTGGGAGCTGACCTTGTTCGTGAAGACAGAGGCAAAAAAGGCATTGAGTACATTAGCTTTTTCCACATCCTCTGTCACTAGGTTGCCTCCCTCATTCAGTAAGGGGCCCACACTTTCCTTGACTTTCTTCTTGTTGCTAACATACCTGAAGAAACCCTTCTTGTTACTCTTAACATCTCTTGCTACCTGCAACTCCAGGTGTGATTTCGCCTTCCTGATTTCACTCCTGCATGCCAGAGCAATATTTTTATAGTCGTCCCTGGTCATTTGTCCAGCCTTCCACTTCTTCTAAGCTTCTTTTTTGTGTTTAAGATCAGTAAGGATTTCACTGTTAAGCCAAGCTGGTCGCCTGCCATATTTACTATTCTTTCTACACATCGGGATGGTTTGTTCCTGCATCCTCAATAAGGATTCTTGAAAATACAGCCAGCTCTCCTGGACTCCTTTCCCCCTCATGTTATTCTCCCAGGGGATCCTGCCCATCAGTTCCCTGAGGGAATCAGAATCTGCTTTTCTGAAGTCCATGGTCCATATTCTGCTGCTCTACTTTCTTCCTTGTGTTAGGATCCTGAACTCAACCATCTCATGGTCACTGTCTCCCAGGTTCCCATCCACTTTTCCTTCCCCTACTAATTCTTCCCTGTTTTGTGAGGATCAGGTCAAGAAGAGCTCTGCCCCTAGTTGGTTCCTCCAGCACTTGCACCAGGAAATTGTCCCCTACACTTTCCAAAAATTTCCTGGATTGTCTGTGCACCACTGTATTGCTCTGCCAGCAGATATCAGGGTGGTTGAAGTCTCCCATGAGAACCAGGGCCTGCGATCTAGTAACTTCCATTAGTTGCCGGAAGAAAACCTCATTCCCTTGATCCGGTGGTCTATAGCAGACTCCCACGACGACCTCACCCTTTGTTGCTCACGCTTCTAAACTTAATCCAGAGACTCTCAGGTTTTTCTGGAATTTCATACCACAGCTCTGAGCAGTCATACTGCTCTCTTACATACAGTGCAACTCCCCCACCTTTTCTGCCCTGCCTGTCCTTCCTGAACAGTTTATATCCACCCATGACAGTACTCCAGTCATGTGATGTTTTCCCACCAAGTCTCTGTTATTCCAATCACATCATAATTCCTTGACTGTGCCAGAACTTCCAGTTCTCCCTGCTTGTTTCCCAGGCTTCTTGCATTTGTGTGTAGGCACTTGAGATAACTCGCTGTTTGTTCTGCTTTCTCAGTATGATGCAGGAGTCCTCCCCTCTCACGCTCTCCTGCTCATGCTTCCTTCCGGTATCCAACATCCCCACTTACCTCAGGACTTTGGTCTCTTTCCCCCGGTGAACGTAGTTTAAAGCCCCCCTCACTAGGTTAGCCAGCCTGATTGCGAAGATGCTCTTCCCTCTCTTCGTTCGGTGGAGCCTGTCTCTGCCTAGCACTCCTCCTTCTTGGAACACTATCCCATGGTCAAAGAATCCAAAGCCTTCTCTCCAACACCACCTGCATAGCCATTTGTTGACTTCCATGATTCGACGGTCTCAACCCAGGCCTTTTGTTTCCACGGGGAGGATGGACAAGAACACCACCTGCGCCTCAAACTCCTTTATCCTTTTTCCCAGAGCCACGTAGTCTGCAGTGATCCACTCAAGGTCATTCTTGACGGAATCATTGGTGCCCACGTAGAGAAGCAGGAAGAGCTAGCGATCTGAGTGCTTGATGAATCTCGGCATTCTCTCCGTCACGTCGTGAATCCTAGCTACTAGCAAACAGCAGACTTCTCGGTTTTCCTGGTCGGGGCAGCAGATAAATGACTCAGTCCTGCTGAGGAGAGAGTATCTGACCACCACCACCCGCCTCCTCCTCTTGGGAGCGGTGGTCGTGGAACCCCCATCCCTAGGACATTGCATCTCATGGCTTCCAATTGGTGGAGTCTCCTTCTGCTCCCTTCCCTCAGATGTATCATCTAGTCCACTATCCTCATTAGTACCTGTGGAGAGAACATGAAAACGGTTGCTTACCTGTATCTGTTTTGCTGGTACATGGACGCTCCCCTTTCTTCTTCTGGAGGTCACATGCTGCCAGATTTCTTCACCGTCCTTCTGTCCCTGCTGCGCAGCCTGCTCTGAATCTTCAGAATTTTGTGTCCGTAGAAACATACCCTGACGTCTGTCCAGGAAATCTTCAGTTTCTCTTATGCACCGCAAGGTCGATACTTGTTTCTCCAGACCTTGAACCTTCTCTTCCAATATGGAGACCAGCTTGCACTTTATACGGACAAAGTCGCTTCTGTCCTGTGGAAGAAAGACAAACATGGCACATCCAGTGCAGGTCACAACAGCTGAACACTCCCCATCCATATTACCTTCCTTCTACGAGCTTCCTCAGGAGTTGTAATAACTACTCAGAGAAGCTGGCAAGATGTAAGCTTCAGTGGGCTCTCCCCAGGGTATGTCAGTGTATCCGGCACTTTGTTGAGCCTAGCTGAGATGTAGGCATGCACTCAGAATGGGTGCTTGCTCTTTCAGCAACAATGCGCAGCACCATGCTGCCTCCTGGTGCCTGAATGCACAATTTTGTGCAAAGACCAGTGTGCCAGCATTATCTCCATTCAAGACATTCTTGAGCTCTTTTGACTTTTGTGCACTTGGCACTTCTGCATTCACTGGGCTTGCAAAAAACAAAACAAACTCATAGAGGATTTGGAGAGGGAAAAGGTGCTGAGAATAAGCCACACACCAAGCCATAAAATCTGTGTGCAGTTTCCCTACAGAATTTACACCCATTTATATAGCACGCTCCCTGTTGGAAAACTAGGATGACTCGGTACTTTTCACAACAGCTGAATGAGTGACAAATAATATTGTTTGCTGAGAACGGCTTAATTTTCCCCCTCCCATCTAATCAAAACAAATTCATCCCTTTCCTCTCCTCCTCCTTTGCCCAGCTCCTCTTCTCCCACCCCCACTGCACCAGGGTGTGACGGGGAGGTGCTCATTACACTGTATGGAGGACAGGGCTCTGTTTGTGGAGTGCCTTTGTGTTCTGTCAGGTCTCTGCTGCCTGGGGCTAGCCAGAGCTGAGGTCCTGAGGGGCCATGTAAGGAGAAGCAGCATCTGAGGCATCGCTCTGAGCTCTCACTAGTTTTGCTGTGTTGCCTATGAGATTTCCCCTGGCGTGGGAGGATCGTCAGGAGCTGGAGAAGGCTCTGCAGAGTGGCATCTTTCTGGACTTGATTCTCCTCTTGCTTACCCCAGTGCAAGCCAGGAGTTGCTCCACTGAAATCAGTGGTGTTAACATAGGGTAAAATCAGTCTGCGGGGTGAGGGAGCGGGCCCTCTGTCTGTCTGTGGAGCAGCATAGAAAGGGGTCCAGGAGGCTGGAAGTAAAGTATGTCTGCAGGAGACTGCTCGCCGTCCTTGCCTCACTGTGTGCTCTCCAGAGCATAGCCCTCTGGGAGGTGAGAATGGGTAGTTATTGCTGAGGCTCTCAGTTATTGCTGGCTCATGGGAAAGCTGCAGATGGCTTTGTCTTCACTAATAGACAGTTAACTCAAGTTAAGAACACACCTTTCCTTTCTAGTGGAAACACGGTCTGGTTGTGCGCGCAGCCCCATCCTGGGGGGGGCCTGATCTCAGCGGGGGCCTCTGGGTGCTCCTCTGATGATGACTAATAAATCCGACTAGGAGGGGGCATGCAGCAATGAGCTGCTGCCAGGAGGATGGGGTTGCAGGTCCCCGCCTACCTGATGCTTTCACTGCACCCCTTGCCCTGAGCTGGCAAGCCTGGTGCTAACGGGCTGTTCTGGTCCTGGCCCAGGGAAGTCGAGGCTATGGTGCACTCTCTGGCTACTTGGAAAGCTTTAGCCTCGTGCTTGTCACTGGGTCTGAGCCCTGAGAGCATGGAAATGGTGAGCCTCCCATACCAGATGAGAGCTCACAGGGCTGGAGCTCCGGCTGGCAGCAACGGGTAGTGCTGCGAGGGAGCCCCCAGTCTCAGGGACACCTCAACAGCTGCCCTACAGCAACATCCTGCAGAGCTTAGACACTTTTCCTAACATGCCTTTCCGGGTCCTTCCAGGGCGTTCCTTGTGTTGCCAGGATTGCAATCCCTGCTGGAAAGGGTGACCTCAAGGCCAGCAAGATGGCGGGAGCATCTGTGAAGGTGGCGGTGCGAGTGCGTCCATTCAACTCCCGTGAGATGGGCCGGGATTCCAAATGCATCATCCAGATGACAGGAAACACCACCAGTGAGTAGCAGCCCTGGCCCTGCACACAAATGCCACTGGGGGCTAGGAATGAGGCGGGCTATACCCAGATCTGCATTGATTTCCACTGGGCTGGCTGCTGCTAATGGCAAAACAGCCACTTGAGGTCCTACCGGTGCTTGGGAGAGGACCTCTTCCCACTGCTGCCACCAGTATTGCTAGCCCCAATGTCGTGAGTTAGTCCCCTAAGAATCATGAGTCTGTCCTGAAAATCATGGGAGTTTTTTTTAAATCACACATTTTGGGTTCTTTTTCTTTGCCTTCTGGCTTTTGCACCTCTTAGATGCATATGGGTCATGTTTTCAGGGTTTTCTCAGCACCCGTGAGGACCAGAAAGCTGTTATGTTTTTGTTTTTGTTTTTAATAAAAGCTGAGATTCTTGTGTGATCATAGGCATTCAGGAGCTGGGACTTTAAAAAAAGCCTCAAACATAATGAGCCTGGTGATAAAATCTGAACTTCACACTCCAGATATGGAGCCTGATTGTCTGCCGTGTTGTACGGTGTGGCATCAGTTATGGCTTGTGCCAAGTGGCTGTGAAATACAAGCACTGGGGTAAAGGAGCAGAGAATTGTAATCTGGTAGCAATTTACATCCTCTTTGCTCTTGTTGAGCGCAGATGTAACCTCACTTCTGCAGGCGTAAGGCGGTGGGCCCATGGTGTGGAGCTAATGGAGACTTGGGCCCATGGTGTGGAGCTAATGTTGGATAAACTCTCTTCTTGCTACCTTAGGGGTTTTATCCTGTCTCCCATCAGTGTGGTATCTCAGCATCTTCCATGTAAAGCAATACCAATCGTGAAATCCCCAGTGGACTCCATGGAGCCTGTGGCTCTCCACACTTTTTGGGGTATAAACTCTGCTTGGGGGATGTTTTGGTTGGCTGGTTACTGCTGGTTTGTATTGTTGTTTGAGGTGTCTGGTTAGATGTTGGAGTCGAAGTTGTCATTCTTGTGACAGTGGAAGGGCTCTTTCCTCACAGCAGTCCACTCCATGGGGGGCAGCATGGCCCAGCATCTACAGCACTAGACTGGGACTCCAGAGAGCTGGGCTCTGTTTCCATCTCTGCCACTGCCTTCCTGAGTGGCTATGGGCGGGTCATTTTATCTCCCTTTGCTTTTGTTTCCCCCTCTGTAAATGGGGATAATGGTACTGCTCTCCTTTGGAAAGCAGTTGGAGATCTACAGATGGGCAATGCTAGGTATTCGTTATCGTCTAGTCAGAGCATCTGTAAGGCATTGTTGAACTATCACTTCAGCTCACCCTAGGGAGAGCCTTCAGATTCGCTGTCCCATTTGATTCATTTGCTTGTAGCACATTATGAAGAGGGCCATCATGGGTTGCTGTTGGCCATACGTAATTTCTCATTTCAGTCTCCCTTGTGTGGCTACCCTCCTTTGGTAACTAGACCATAGTGCAGAGTTACTATAAAATACCACAACCGTCTAGCACAGGACACCACCCTGGCATTTGATTCCTAATGGCAATATACCTTACCGCCTTATACTCCAGCAGGTGGTTCTGACTCTGGTCCTTTGGCTGATGGCTTTTAGGAGATCACCCCTCCTCTCCTTTGGGGGACTCAGAGTATTTTCCTGCACAGAAATCGTCAAGCCCTTCCCACTCCCAGTTCACAGAGGTGTCCTGGACCAGCCAAAGCCTCATACCATCTCATATAAGCTGCAACATCACCATGTTCCCTCCACTGCAGAGCTGTATAATGCAGGTGACTATACTGGGTCATCTGGCTGTAACATTGTCATGTATATATGGGCATCAACGTTACTGGGCTGTCTGGGACATGGTGTATATGCCACTTTTTCCCATTCATGGAAGCACTCTGGTAGTGGCTGCTCCCTTATGGTCATTTGGCCATTGCCACCAGTGCCACCTGGAGTGGATGTTTGACAAATCGAAGGACTATTTCCTGGTGTTGCAGAGTCAAATCATCCCCGCATCTCTGTAGGGTGCTTATGGCTGTATTGCATAGCTGGATGCTCATAGTTAGTGTGGCAGTCACCTCTATGACAAGGCTGTGTGATGTTCTGGATAGTCATCTAGTGCAGTGGTTTTCAAACTTTTTTCCTCGTGACCCAGCTGAAGAAAATTGTTGATGCCCATGACCCAACGTAATTATATCTTTTGACTAGAGTTTTCATAAAATTTTAATAGTGCAATACATTCTAGCTTAACCCACTTTACATAACTAATACTAGACACTAGCCTTAGTAATCCTATGGTAAGGAGAGTGGGAGGTGGCCCAAGGTAGGGCAGAAGGTGGGGTGAGAGCTGCAGGGTGGGGCCAGGGATGAGGGGTTCAGGATGCAGGAGGGGGCTCAGGGCTGGGGCAGAGGGTTGGGATGCGGGGGGCGAGGGCTCTGGCTGGAGGTGCGGGCTTTGGGTTGGGGCCAGGGAGGAGGAGTTTGGAATGCAGGCATACTGCCTCGGGGTTCGGGCCAGAGGACTCCCCCCAGCTCTCTCCCCACCGCTAGCTCCGGGGGAAGGGCCCCCCTCTCTCTCTCTCTCTCTCTCTCTTCCCATCCCTGCTGGCAGGCAGTACGGAGCACGGAGCTCTGGGGGAAAAGGCCCCTCTCTCCCTCTGCACCAACCTCCGGGGGAAGGGGCCCTCTCTCCCCCCCAGAGCTCCGTGCTCCCTGTCGGCAGGGGAAGGGTCCCTCTCTCCCACCAACAGCAGTGAAAGCCAGGGGAGAGGCCCGCAGCAGCCCTGCAAGCCCCAACTTGCTCCCCTCCCCAGTTTCCACCCACCCCCTACCTCTCTCCTCTCCAGGTCCTTGATGCGCAACAATGATCATTATAATTTGAATCAGCAAGGCAACCCAGTGCCTGACATTCCATGACCCAGTACTGGGTCGTGACCCATACTTTAAACAACACTGATCTAGTGCATCTAAAACACAGCTCAGAATGTGTGTACATTGCTGCAAGCTCAGCAATATGAACTAAACATGTGGATACAGCCACTACCCCAGCTGGCCACAGTTCTCTTTAGGGGGGAGCCATACTATAAGAGAGTGGAATATTTCACCCACCAAGATCAAAATGGCTTGTAGGGCATTTCCCCTAGGTAATATTTTAGCAAGCAAGGAACTTCAGTGACTTCTGTGCCCATCTACCATATGCTCTCCAGCTGACATGGCTTGGATGTGCTGAGTTTGTTGGCTTACATTCAAACATATCATGGTTGTGGTAATAAAGCAGAGTCACTCAGGTCCATTTGCTCACCCGTGGCTGGGACCTGAGAAGACTCTTAACAGCAAAGCCATTTGAAATGGGGTGGAAGCTTTCAGAAAGGCTCTAGAATTAGAGTACCACAATCTTTAGCTGACTTCCAAGTATGAGACTTACAAACAGGAATTGATTTCTAAACACTGTATTCTTGGCAGAATTATGGGCGAGATCCTTGGCATAACTCCATTGGCTTCAGTGGAATGACATCCATGTACACCAGCGGAAGACCTGGCCCATCCATGGTTCTCAGAGGTGGCCTATGGGCCACAGGGTTCTGCAGAGTTACATCCATCTCAATAGTAAAGCATGCATGGACAAAACCAGTGTGGGTCCAACTAGCCTAAGAAGGTTAAGCTCTCTCATATTGCTTGCAAAGTTCCCCTGCATGCCTCTCCCTGATTAATAACTGAGATCACTTAACAAGTCTCTTTCTCTGCTGTGTATTTCTTTGATGTAAATTCGGTCATGATTAAATTTGCTGATGACACCAGAATTGGAGGAGTATCAATCATAGTGGAGGGTAGAAGCAAACTGCAAAATGACCTGCTGAGACTAGGTCAATGGAGGGCTGCAATAGATGAGAGAATACTCATTTATAGTGCATGTAAATTCCTCTGCCATAGATGCCAACTCTGTGGGTGCTCTGGGGCTGGAGCACCCATGGAAAAAAATAGTGGGTGCTCAGACCTACCAGCAGGCCCTGCTGATCAGCTCCTCCCCCTTCCTCCCAGTGCCTCCCCTCGCCACTGATCAGCTGTTCAGCAGCGAGAGGGAGGCGCTGGGGGTGGGAGGGGCAGGGGCAGGAAGAGGTTGGGGCCTTGGGGAAAGTGTAGAGTGGGGGCAGGGCCTGCGGCGGAGCGGGAGGTCAAGCACCCCGCCAGGGAAATCAGAAAGTCGGTGCCTTTGTCCTCTGCCGAGAAAAAGAGGGGAAATAGAATGCATGATAGGTGGGGGGAAGTAATCAAAGAGCCAGCCTGACTGCAGTAAAGCCGTTTATTTCCATGTTATCTGCTCTGTGCTCTCCTAATATATTTTTGTGTTTGTAAGTAAGTGTAATGGCAACCCTGGCCAGGTCATCTGCAGGGACTGGTAGAGCTAAAGGAGCAGGTCAGGGAGCTCAAGGACAGTAGCAGACTCCTAGACCTCTATACATGGTCCAGCCACCAGCAGGGGGACAAAGAGCCCTGCTGCGTTAGCATGAGAACACAATCACTACGGCTGCTGCAGGGAAGGGCGAGAGTGGGAGAAGTAGTCACTCCGAAGGAGTTGTCCTGTATGGACACAATTGAGAACTGTTGTGATTCCCCCACGTCACGAGAGTTCTTTGCTCTGGAAAACACCTCCCCTCCTTGGTCCACCCAAATGCAGAACTGTTACCCTTCTGATCGTGCTGCAAGGCCCAGTTCTTCTCCTGAGCACTGGAGGAGTGACGTTTGTTGAGTCTCTGCATTTGATCTTGAGGAGGCTAGGTACTAAGTATGGGCAGTTTGTTATTTGTTGGAATAGATCAGGTGGGAGATTGTAAGCATGAATTATTGTTGTGGGGATGGGGGCACAGCCCATGATGGGGGTTTGTGACTGTGATCTAGAATTGGGTGGAAAATGTTGACAAAAACTGAAAATGTGGAGGAAGCCATGCCCTACCCCCGATTGGGCAGAGCTGGGATAGAATCACAATCAACCCACAATGACATAGCTGCAATGTTAAGTCCTGGCATCTTGAAGCCAGCTTGC